GCCGCCCGCGTGTGCACGGAGCTCCTTGGCACCCGCCCTGCGCCCACAGCCCCTGTGGCCACGTCTCACCCGGAGGTGAGGCGGACAGAGTGGAGCTCAGCAAAGCTAAGAGCCGTCCAGCTCAAACGCCCAGAGAGCAGCCGCAGGTGCAGAAGCACCCGGGTCTCTGGAGGGGGAGAAGGAACATTCCGGACGCCGTCGTCTTCTGCTTGCCGTCCCCTCGGGGCAGCCACAGAGCCCAACAGGCAAAGAATTATTCCCGGTGGGTGTGCCTCCTGCCGAAGGGCCACCCCCCCTCGGCTCCCGGGAGGACCCTCCGACCGGTCGGCTTATGTACATGGAGGTGGTTTCTCTTCCTCCACCAATGGCAGCCCACGTTCTGCCCGGTTTCCCTAAAGCCTGTCCCGCTTCGGCTTTCATTTAGACACTAGAGGCCCGATGCACGAAATTCGTGCAAGAGCAGGCCTTCCTTCCCCAGCTGCCAGCACCGGCTTCCCTCTGGCACCCGGGACCCAGCTTCGTCCAGAAGGTCGTCCGGTCTCATTAGCATATTACGCTTTTATTATTGTAGACTAGAGGCCCAGTGCACAAAAATTTGTGCACTCGGGGGGGTCCCTCAGCCCAGCCTGTGCCCTCTCACAGTCTGGGACCCCTCAGGGGATGACCACCTGCTGGCTTAGGCCCGCTCCCCAGGAGATCCGGCATAACCTGGCAGTCAGACATCCCTCTGGCAACCCAGGAGCCCTCGTGGGATGTCCACTTGCCAGTGGGAACCAGGCCTAAGCTGCAGTCGGACATCCTTAGCGCTGCTGAGGAGGCGGGAGAGGCTCCTGCCATCACTGCTGTGCTGGCAGCCATCAGCCTGGCTTGTGGCTGAGCAGAGCTCCCCCTGTGAGAGTGCACTGGCCACCAGGGGGCAGTGACTGCATTGAGCATCTGCCCCCTGGTGGTCAGTGTGTGTCATAGTTACCAGTCATTCCCAGTTGTTGTGCTATTAGGGTCAATTTGCATATTACCCTTTTATTATATAGGATAGAGGCCTGGTGCACGGGTGGGGGCGGACTGGTTTGCCCTGAAGGGTGTCCCAGATCAGGGTGGGGGTCCCAATGGGGTGCCTGGCCAGCCTGGGTGAGTGGCTGAGGGCTGTTTTCAGACTGGCCACACCCCCTTCAGGGTGGGGGTCCCCGCTGGGGTGCCTGGCAGCCTGGGTGAGGGGCTGATGACTGTTTGCAGGCTGGCCACAGCCCCTTCAGGGTGGGAGTCCCCTGGGGTGACTGGCCAGCCTGGGTGAGGGGCTGACGGCTGTTTGCAGGCTGGCCACGGCCCCCAGCCACCCAAGCTCCCAGTGGAGACTGGCTGGAAGCAGGTATCTGGGATTTATTTATCTTCTATAATTGAAACTTTGTTGCCTTTAGCAGAGGCCACAGCGGGCTAGGGTAGGCGGGAAGCTTGGCTTCCTCCATCGCCAGGGCAACCAAGCCTCCTGCTTGCTCCAGCTCAGTGGCTGCCGGCCACCATCTTGGTTAGGTTAATTTGCATATAATCGCTCTGATTGGCTGGTGAGTTTGGCTTGGGCATAGTGAGGTTACGGTCAATTTGCATGTTTCTCTTTTATTAGATTAGATTAGTTGCATTTGTGTCTACTGAGCTGTGTCACGCTTCTTCCTGCTTGTCCATTCACATAATTTCCCAGGCCATCTGGTACACCTTTCCCCAGAGACCCACACAGCGCATCATCTCTCCACAGGTAGGATCCAGCCTATGGAATCTAACAAAACGGGTCTAGGATTAAAATCGGTTAACACACACACACACACACACACACGCACACGCACACACACGCACACACACACACGCACACGCACACACACGCACACGCACACACACACGCACACGCACACACCACGCACACGACACACACACGCGCGCGCACACACACACGCACACGCACACACACGCACACGCACACACATTATGTCAGTCCCTACACCTGTTGCTCTTTGTGAGCTCCGATGAAACACCTTGAGGACACACGGTGCGCGCCCTGAAGGGGAGCGTAGGAAACCGCTGTTGGCTGAGTGAGGGAGGGGTAGGCTAGGAATGACCCTTGGAACTGGACAAACCTTGATCCAATCACCATTTGGAACATTGCGATTGTGTGCACCTTGGACACTAAGAACACAGCAGTACAGCCGGCACAGAAAGCCACCCCCGTCCATCGGGCGTCCAGACCCTGACCGTGGGTTAGGGGCTGAGCTTACGGTGACTGGCCCTCCAGACCCTCAAGGGGGCCACGGGTTTAGGGTGCGTGCCGAGTCCATACCAGAGACTCCCAGTGCAGAGTGAACGCTGGGTGGACGACATACAGAACCCAGCTTACCTTCTACCCGCCCGGCAGCTCCCACCTCTATTCACCTGGTTATTCCTGAGGGTGGAGGGCAGTTGTTTCTTGCTGATAATCATGGAACTAAAGCGCCCATAATGCTATTCTCACGGGTCGTCAGCGTCTCCTGTGCAAAGTAGCTATTTTGAGCTTTAAAAACACCTGCTTCCCTGCGAGCCAGCGGCAGGCGGCAGGCGCACGATGTGAAACGCCGCAGATAAACGCCGCGAGGTGTCCACCGTGCCCGCTGCACGAGCGTCCTCCCTCCATCCAGGACCAAAACACATGCACAGACGCTGCAGGGCAGCGCGATGAGAAGAGAGGAGAAAATGCTGATTTTCAAACACTCCTGGGAAGCTGCTCCGCCGTTCGGTCTCGTGCAGCTGTGGCCCCGGGTGCCCGGGGTTCCCAGGCTCGGAGCACAGGCAGGGAAACCGCGTTGCAGACCCCAGAAGCCCAGGCCCCCGCCGAGGAGACCCTGACGGCTCAGGATCTGCTCGCAGACGGTTCGACGGCCACTGGCTTCGAGGAAGTGCCACAGCCGGTGGACACGGCCACAGCCTGGAGTTGGACCCAGAGCCCTTAGGGCCCCCCCCGCCCCCCACCATAGGCCCCAGGCACTGAGCCCCAAACGCAAAACCTGTGCAAGCCTCTGCACCACGCGGGCTCCGCCGCCCAGCGCCCAGCGCCGGCTCCTGTGGCCACAGGCCCCTCAGACCCGAGGGCAGGTGCCCAGAGCAAGACGAGCCGCTGGTCGCTGGTCGCTGGTCACAGAGGAGGGGCCGCGAGGGCGGGACACCTTCCCGGGGGCACCGTCACCCTCTGCCGGGGACATGGAGCCCTTTCCCTCCTAGAAGGTGTGACCTCGCAGGGGCCCTCTTCTCAGCACGAGGCTCGTTCCAGGAAAGTTCTCTCCAATCTTACTATTTCCTGCTTATTTTTTTAATATATATAAATATTATTGATTTCAGAGAGGAAGGGAGAGGGAGAGAGAGAGAAACATCAATGATGAGAGAGAATCATGGATCGGCTGCCTCCTGCACGCCCCACACTGGGGATGGAGCCCGCAACCTGGGCCTGTGCCCTGACCAGGAATCGAAACCTGACCTCCTGGTTCCTAGGTCGATGCTCAACCACTGAGCCACATGGCTGGGCAATTAATGACATTTTTTTAAAAAAAATACAAATAGAAGAGCTTTAATAGCAAAACAGATGATCCCCAAACAGAAACGAAGGGGAGGACATAGCGGGCGGGGCAGCCACGACGCCCTTTGCCGTCCCAGCATCAGGACGAGCAGCCTGAGCAAAGGTGGGTCACACAGCCCCTGAGCCGCATCGCCGAGACCGCCGGGACCCACCATGCGTGTGGAGGCGGCCAGTCGTCTACATAAAGGACAGAGCAGGCCCGGCTGGTCCGCTCCGTGGACACAGCGTCGGCCTGCAGACCAGAGGGTCCCGGGTTCGATGCCGGTCAAGGGCCCTGGAGGCGGCCCACCGATGCGTTCCTCTCACAGCGATGTTTCTCTGTCTGTCCCTCTCTTACACTCTCTCCCTAAAAATCAACGGGAAATGTCCCGGGGGAGGATTCACAACAACCTCTCTGGCCGCGGACGTTTCTTGTTGAAACCTGGGAAGCTACGGGATGAAAAGACAAAAACATATTTTGAAGATGAACTGGTCCGCCTCTGAGGAACTTCGTGTCCCTGATGACATGGACTGAGTAGACTGAACAGGAGTGAGTCGTGTAAGCAGCGGCTTTGCAGGGCGCCCAGGGCTCCCCAGGACCCGGTCTCTAGAATACGCCTCCCGCCTCTGAG